AGATAGATAGATAGATAGATAGATAGATAGATAGATAGATAGATAGATAGATAGATGTAGATATACATGATAGATGGATGTGATGGATGGATGGGTGGGTGGGTGGATGGGTGGGTGGGTGGATGGATGGATGGATGGATGGATGGATGGGTGAGTGAGTGAGTGGGGGAGCCCCCAAAAATGAGAACTTTATGGTCACAGCTCCTTTCATCACTATGTAGTCTAGAGCTGAGGTTAGCTAAGCTATAATAATCAGCATAGAGCAGAACGTTGACAGTCTGTGGTTCCAAGTACACAAAAATCAAAATTTTTTTGGGGGGGGGAAGGAGAGGATAATAATAATGCCCAACCTATAAGTCAGTGGTTCTCAACCTATAAGTTGTGACCCCTTTGGGAGTTAAACAACCCTTTCATGGAGGTCATCTAAGACCATCAGAAAACACAGATATTTACATTGTGGTTCATAAAAATAGTAATATTATAGTTATAAAGTAGCAACCAAAATAATGTTATGATTGGAACCATATGAGGAACTGTATTAAAGGAAGGTGGAGAACCACTGCTGTACGTGATAACATATGGCATAGCCCCTGAGCAGAAGCTCTTTTTAAAATGTTTAAAGATGAATACAAAGATGAGCCTTAAAAAGAACTGTGGGGAGGTAGGCTCCACGTCGATAGGATGCAGGATTCCAGGCTGCTGAAGATACTGGCAGATTACCGTAAACTGGGACTGAATGAATGCAGAATGAAACTGCAGGGCTAGGGCTTTTCAGTGGCTGTATCCAATTGCCTTGGTCAAAGCAGAACTGACAACAAAGGGGATTTAAGAGTAAAATATATTGAACTACCCAAAGTCTAAATCAAAATTAGTTATTATTGAAAAAAGACCCTTTCTACTTGAAGACTGAGATCCAGATGAGACAGCATCAATTGCATTTATTAACATTGCTTATGCTTAATACTAGATGAAAAGAATTGGCCATGACGCAATCATGATAACGATTAACTAACCTTGTTGAGAATTTTTTTGTACAAAATCAGAGTTGTTTCAGTAATTACCAGCCATCTGCCTCCAATTTCCATATTAATTAGTTATTATATTTGTGTTTGTTTGCATACTTGTTATGTATGTCTAAATTACACATATCACATTTAGTGAAGCCTATTTTGATTAGTGTTGTTAAACAATAGTGTTCTGGCTACTTTGAAGATAAATGAAATTTGTTAATAAAATATAAAACTGGTATTTTAATGATGTTAAAAATCTTAAATATCTTTGTCTTTTTTGTGCTAAGTATATTATACTGAAAATAGCAAAGCTCTACCTGATTGCAAGAAAAGTGGAATGGGTTCCTCAACTTGATAATGTAGCGATGGCAGATATATTGAAACATGGGGTATACCAGACCAGAGAATTACTGCAGTTAAATCGTTAAATGGTTCTTTTGGTGGTTTTGTATCCCATCTGAAATAATTGTAGGGACCACTGTTACTTGAGGACTCTGAGCTGCTGCTGGTAACAATCCTCAGAGGCTAAGGACAACACACATGTGATTATAACAAGTTGTCAGAGTGGAGGAGATAGTAACAGATAATCAGTTAACACACAGGCCTGTAAAGCAGGGTACCCCTGCTGTCTTGGTGAAAGAGCTTTGCTCCTGTTCCCTCTGATAAGCTTTAGCTTCAGATTTCCTTTAAAGGAGACGATTTAAGGCTGGGTTCTCTCTAAGGAAAAAAAAAATGATGACATTATTATGAGCCAGTTTGAAAACCAGTCTATGAAGATATCTCTTGAATTGTATACAATATAAAGTATAAGTTAAAGACTCAGTAAAGCAGTGCAGAGTATTGAGACAGCTGCTGGTTTTGTTTCTTAAACAGGCTCATGCACAGTTGGTTCGAGAGGTTGATGTGGAGAAGGTATCTGCTTTTGAGAATCCTTATGTGGATGCAATAAAGAGCTTGTGGAACGATCCTGGAATCCAGGAGTGCTACGATAGACGACGGGAATATCAGTTATCTGACTCTACCAAATAGTGAGTATCTGCACAGCAGGCCCTGAGAAATTGCTGTTGCTGTACTTCACAGGAATGTACTCTGTGGTATTTGTCACAGTGTAATCTGTTGTGCGAATGGTAATCAAACCTAGGTGTATAGACAATAAACTTATATTTGTATGTCTGACTCCTCTAAGTGGTGGCATAGTCATAAGGTACTAAGTTCATATTGGGGACAGTATTTCTGTGTGTGTGTGTGTGTGTGTGTGTGTGTATGTGTGTGTCTGTGTGTGTGTTTGTGTGTGTTTGTATGTGTTTGTGTGTGTTTTTTGTTTTTGTTTTGTTTTATTTTTTCTTTTCTTTTCTTTTTTGGAGTTGCAAGTTTCCCAGGCTGACTTTGAATCCCTGTACTCCTGTCTTCAATGCTGGAGTACTGTGATAACAGGCATGCCACCATTCCAATTATGAAATCTAAGGCTCAAACTTCATGCATAGTAGGCAAGTAGTCCACCAATTGAGCTACACCTCCGGTTCCAAGAGTATTTCTTTCACCGAGTTTTACTTCAAAAAAAAAAAAAATCCTAGTGATTTGATTTCCATCACCCTGTTTTCTCCCTCAAATTGCAAGCCAGTGACTCACAAACCTGCATAACTTTGTGTCTTAGATAGATTTTTTTGTTTTAGTTTTGTTTTTTGCTGTTGTTGTTGTCTTGTTTTGTTTTTTTCTAACTTGATGTAAACCCGGGAACCTCAACTGAGAAAATACTTCCATCATATCGACCTATTGGCAAGCCGTGAGGCATTTCCTTAATTAATGACTGATGGGGGAGGGCCCAGCCCTTTGTGGACAGTGCCATTCCTAGAATGGTGATCCTGGGTGCTGTAAGACAGCAGGGCGAGCAAACTATGGAAAGCATGCCAGTAAGGAGTATTCCTCTATGGCTTTGCTGCAGTTCCTACCCTGCTTGAATTTCCACCATTCAGTGAGGGACTGTTACCTGGGAATGAAAGATGAAACAAACCCTTTCCTTCCTAAGTTGCATTTAGCCATAATCTTTATCACAGGAGGGCGACCCTATAGGAAGACCAGCAGTCTCAACTAACCTGGACCCCCAAGATCTCTCAGACACTGAGCCACCAACCAGGCAGCATACACCAGCTGATATGAGGCCCCCAACACATATACAGCAGAGGACTGCCAGGTCTGGACTCAGTCAGAGAAGATGCACCTAACCCTCAAGAGACTTGAGGCCCCAGGAAGTGGGGAGGTCTGGTGGAATGGGGGTGGAGGGATGGGAACATCCTCTTGGAGATGGGGGGTGAGGGGGAGGAGGTATGGGATTTGGAACAGTCAGTGGGTGGACAGGGAGGGTGATAAAAAGTCTGGACTGTAAAAAAGATTAAAGAATAAATTTAAAAAAAAAAAAAAAGAGTTCCAGGACAGCCAGGGCTATGTAGAGAAACCCTGTCTTGAAAAACCATAAAAAGAAAAGAGAAAAAAAAAAGAAGAAAATAAATGAAGTAAAAATTTTGATCTTAGTATTAGATGACAGAATACTTAAATAAATTAGAAATTACAAAGAAAACTGTGTTCGATCATGGCTTCTGAAAACATAAGACTTCCCTAGTTCACAATTCTTAGACCCTTGTCAACTTTCAAAGAACAATTATTGATAGATGGGTTTTCTTTTGCAAGAAAACTATGGATTTTAATTTTGCATGCATTCCAGAATTATTGTGTGAGCTGCCAGTTAATCTCATGTACCTGAGAAAGATTTGCATCTAAGACAGATCTGTTAATTCTGTCTTCAAATGTCCATAACAGAAATGAAGTTCATCATGGGATTTAATATAATCAATGTAGCCAGGAATATAGATAGATAAGATCTGAAACAAAATGTGGATTGTGTTTGTTTTGAATTTTTTAGTTATCTAGCCAGATTTCCATCTACATTAGTTATGTTAATATGTCATTCCTCTCTTACTTTGTTTCTGGTCAGTCACAGGAAAGGGTGGGAAATATTTCACAGCCTTCATCCTGTCTCTATTATAGAATAACCTAGTGGACAAGAGTCGGCTTTAGAGCAAACTGAGGGGCCTGGCTGGCAGATCGGTGCCCCTCGGTAATGATGGAAGGTCCAGGGATTATACATTCTTTTTACAGTGAAGTTACATTTCTACTTTTCTAGACATTTGCATAAGATACATTATGGTTCAGCCATAGAAATGTTGCCCGAATAAAGTATTTTCATATTATCTGCTAAATTTGAGTCATGTAATTCCAGACTGTCAGCAGGATTCTGTCTGTCCTGTTTAACATGCGGTCCAGTATGTACAGTCATCTGACTTGCGTTATTACTGTCTGTCCTTCCTGCCCCATCCTTCTTCCACACCACCCTTCAGGTTCAGGATCTGTTACTTTCTGCTGACTTCTTCAGCCTTCCACCTACCCTGCCCACTCCCTTTCCCTTCCTCTTCATTCCCTAATTGTAAGTCTCTGTAAGCTGAAGACATAGATAGAAAACGTGCATTCATTTCTTGTCTATAACAAATCCTGCCTCCTCTACCTTTGACAAGCTGTCTGTCACTTACTTCCTCCCTCCTCTTTCCTTCTGTTTCCTTTGCCATTTCAGATTTCAGTGCCCCATGTTGCGCTGTGTTTATCCACCTCCCCTCTTTCTGTCTCACCCTCCTGTTGTTTGTTCCTCTACCCTCACTGTGATTCTCCTCTCTGCTTCTTCTTTAACTGCCTTCTGTCCTGCACTTTGCTAGCAGGATCCTGTTTCAGAGTAGTGCTCTGTGGCTCCACCTTTTCCTCCTCTCTCTCTTCTCCTTCCCCCCCTCTCTCTCTCCGTTCCTTCTTTCCTCTTCTAGTACTGGAGATTGAACCTAGAACCTTCTGTATGTGCAACAAGTGCTCTACCACTGAGCCAAAGCCAACCTGCTTATGCTTATTTTACATACTATCTCTTCCCCTTCCCTTTACACATCAGCTATGATTATTCTGCCTATAGAGAGGCCTTCATAGCAGGAAGTCAAAACACCAATATCTTATGTGTCCATCACATAGTTATGTGTCCACCAAGGTGTGACTGTCCATGAAGAACCTAATTTGTCGCCCCTGCCCCCACCCTGGTGTAAACTAATGAAATGTTCCTTTTGCACGAAACTTAATCTTCCATGGATATGCTCTTAAGACAGCCTCTGTCATCTCTCATGATACTATTCCAGGAAGATTTGTGGATTTTGAGACTTATACCCATTACTTAATAGGGAATTTGCATGTTATTGTAATGTTTGTTTAGGCCAAGAGCTTTCCTGGGCAGTCTCTCTACCTTAGAAGGCCATCACTTTAGAATTCTGGTAGCTAAGCTGAGTTCAGCATAGAATCTAACCTGCTGGTTAGACACAGATGATGCTGATATGGCACATGCTGACTGAAGTCCCCTAACTGATTGTTCTTTACATGCTCTGACTTTCTATAGTTTAGGGATAAGCTGACTTCCTAAGTTACATTTATGTGAGTGCATATACTTAGTTCTGTTAGATGATGTTTTTGTGGAAATAATAAATTATAACATCTTGTGTCATTTCATTACGTATATCTTTGTTTTAAAATGTATATTTTCCTGCATAGTTAATAATGGTACATAAATTATGCCTAAAGCCAGTAGTTCATGTTCAGATTCCCTGGGTTCTTCTAAAATGTCATTCAGATGTGGTTAATTTTAGGACTACATAGTTCATCTGGCAACTGTGTCTCTTAAGGCTTTTCTACCCTAGTAAAGAGACCTGTTTTACATTTCATTGGCATGCTGAAGAGTGGCCTGGATTTCCTGATTCATTCTTTGTACAGTTTAGTCTGCTTCTTTCTCTCAAGGATTTATTATACACCGGATGTTAAGACTTAGACTCAAGGTGAGCAGTGTAATGGAATGCGTTTTAAGTGATGTCACATTCTCACCCTGTCAGCTTTCACTCTGTTCTTTTATGTTAATTCATTACCCTTGCTGATAAATAACCCAGAAGGATTTGCAATATAGTAGTGGTACTAATAGAAATAATAATAGTTGTTGTTATTGTTGAGGCAGGGTCTGGTTGACCTGGAACTTTCTGTGTAGATCAGGCTGTCCTCTGCCTCTTGGGATTAAAGTCATGTGTTACCATGCCCAGGCTACTTACTACATGTATTACTTGGTCTGCACTAGTCTTCTTTGAGGTAGCTTTTCTACTCATCTGATGCTTTTGAGTACCACAAAATATATCTCTCCTACCAGAAAGCTGTGTGTGTTCTAACCTTTTATAAAAAAACAGCAATTTTCTGCATGTCCTAAATAAGATGGTAATTGTGTCACTTATTATCAAACCAGAATACCTTTAGAAGGAATAACTAGCTGCTGTGCTGAAAAAGCAAATTTAAATTGTAGGATAGGCAGGCATGTGGCTTTTGGTCACCAAATGAAACCTAAGGGGTTAGTTGGTGTCAGGTAAGTCTGTAGATCCCTGGCTTATCTTCACCCCCCCCCCCTTTCTGGGCGTTTCAAGATTATTGCTATACCGGTGTCTGGGTAGCAGGGAGACCTGCCTCTCAGCTTGCCTAGGGAAGGGGTGGTGGTGAGAATTCATGCCATCTTCTTTCTCGTCTATGTTCTGGACACTCTACTTTTTTTTTTTTTTTCTAAGCCAGGTAGGCTTCCCAACAGAAATAGGCTGTTAGATATCACATCCTGGTGTTGTCCTAGCAACCAGAAGGATACAGGTCCCATATAGCAGTCTCCTTAAAGCCCTGCTCTTGGAGTTTTCATAGAATGTAAGGAGCCCTCCCTCCCCTGTCATGCTTGAGATCATTGTGCTCTGATGTTCTTCTTTGGTGTATGTTCCTGCTGCATCTTGTCTCCTTTTCCTTCAATGGGTCTTTGCTTTTGCCTTTATATTGGCTGTTCTCATGTTAGAAAATGTATAAATCTCAGATTTCTAACTATGTGACAATCAGGATCTGTCATAAACATTTGCTTAGAGGTTGGGGGTGTAACCATTTT